TGTCTCATGGATACCACTGAAGGGCAGTCATCATATCAGGTGCCATGGCCTCCATAATAGCCGCAGAAATATTCCTTCCGGTCTATTATAAGGTTCAGTTCACAAGTGTTAACAAAGTAAGACATTCTCTATATTTCTCAGTTTTCTTATAGAATATAGAAATTGTTATGAATTTTTGTAATTTAATTGTCTTTCCATTTATTATATAATATGATTGAATGATTGGTTTATAGTATTTGGAAGTAAGGTTTGGCAGTCAAAAGGTTCGGTTAGCCGTTTCGTTCTCATTCCTCATGTGTACCATTCCTTATATGGGAGTTGTCTTATATGGACCATCACTTGCTCTTGGATCAGGTATATTGACATTAACATTGAGACACCGCATGAACTACAATGAAATAATGCTGGGGTATTGCATTATATTTGACTCAATTTTAGTCACGAATCCAATATAAAGTAGAGTTTATTTTTAAATAAGAGATTATGAGATGAGATTAGTGATGCAATTATGAACAAACTGAACACTATATGAATAATGTTTTAAAAATAAAACACAAACCAAAACCAGAATTGAAAGACAACTTCACTACAAAGCTTAAGAGCACTGACATGGGCTCATAGATTTACTTTTGAAAATATCCTGTTTACACTTTAAAGTATTGTCATACAGTACAACAGAATTATATTTATCAAGTATTAATTGCAAATTTTAAACATTTTTATTTAGTCACTCCAATAAGTGTCTCAACATCTGTACTAATAATCGGAAGCATTTGTACACTCTATACATCAATAGTAAGAATTTACAATATTAAAATATAACCATGTTAATTTTTCTGAAACAATTATCGCTCAATTATTTAGAAATAAATTAACTGTAATTTATGATTTATTGCTCAATAATTGAGTCTTATTTAAGAAACCTAATGGACTTTTACTAAAATAATTTCCGCTGTAATTCAATGTAATTGACTTTCGCACAGAATTGAAGGTCTCGTCATACCTTTAGTTGACTTTTGTTTTCAGATAACAAGTTTGCTTTCAATACCAATTGAATATGTTTTCTAAATTATATAACTTTC